ACAGATCAACCGAAGTAAGAGTTCAAGATAATTGTCATTCATCAAAAAGCAAATACAAAGGAGGGGCCATAAGCCCGGTTACAAGAGTAAAGAAGTAACAAAAAAGAAAAGTACAAAATCAAGTGAAAAGGTCTTCAATTTCGGCGTCAATGTCAACTTGAACACCGGTTGCAGATGGAAGATCAGTCTCAGTAGCAACTGGCAAAACGATATCAGTCGATGGCTCAACAGTCAGGTCTTCAACCGTTGCCTCCAACCGAGCTGATTGATCGTTGACTTGCTCGTTGACTACCGGAGTAACAGTTTGTTCGTTTTCATCGTCTTCATCATCTGAATCCTGCAAAAATTGTTCTTGGACCGAAGCAGCATATTCCGCTAGTGAGGCTGGAATGAAGTACTGTGGAGCATTGTAGACCTCGGTTTCAGGCCACAGCCGAGCTGTTCCACAGCACTCCTCCAGCCACACTTAAAGAATAAGTCCTTCGCCCCCACGCATTGCGGAATGTAGAGGCCCTCCGCCTCTTTGAAACCATGAGCGTTGGCATCACCGACCTTCTTCTTCAGATCAGCTACCTCGGCGTCTTTTTTGCCTTCGAGTTTGGCCAACTCACGCAAATATTTATCTTTCACCATTGCTGCAATTTTTTTCTTTTCAGCTTCAGCCGAGCTAACAAGTCCGGTCAAGCGACCGTTCTCGAACTGTAGCTCGGCTATCTGCTTCTTGGCTTTCTCAAGCTCGGCTGTCTTTGCCTCGGCTTCCGCCATTGCTTGTCTCGTTGTTTTCCGGAGCTCCAGCACTTTCCTATGTGCAATGTTGTTCTTCTGAATGGCCTGCAAGGGTAGTGACTCTCTTTAGCCGGACTGACAGTTGGGAAAAGTTAGACAAAGAAAAGGGAGAGCCACTTACCAGGATCATTGATTTTGTTGAAGACCGGATGGCCTTCAGCTCGGTGTTTAGTTGCTTGTTGTGGTGCTCCATATCTTTCGGAAGGCAAACACTCTTGGCTAGATTGAAAGCCATCAAGTGATCCTTCTCAGCAACGACCGAATCAGTCTCCTGGATATTTCGGTCTTGAAAGGTGAGAATTGGAGCCCATTTGGAGGAGTCAGCTCGGTCAGATTGCTCCGGTTGAAGGATGGGTTGAGGACTTGGTGGAGGGATGGATTCGTCCTCATCCACAAGTTGTTGTTCGGTCGAGGTAGATCGGGCACGCTTAGAGGGGCGTGATGAAGAAGGCTATTGAGAAGGGAGGGCCACAACGGCAGGCTGCGTTTGGCTTGGTGGCAGTACTTCGGGTCTGTTAGTTTCGGTTAGAAGCGCCCTTACTCTGTTCCTTTTAGCCATTTCCTTTTCAGCAGTTAGTGGGATTAGTCTGATTTCTGGCAAGGTTGGGTCCAGTTCTGGGGCCTCCTCAAGCAGAAAGTCGGTCACTCTCACTTTTCGACGGCCGCTGTATCTGTAGGTCGGCTCAAACTTTAATAGCTTAGCCCAACTACGTTCTAGATACCGTAGTGCGGCGTGCAAAGTCGCTAGATTTGGGTAGCTGTATAAAGAATGGAGGTGGGCAGAATCTGCGAAAAAAGACTACTGTTAGTTCGGTTGAAAGATTAAAAAACCGAAATATAAAAAAGCACGCAAGAAAGCCGAAGTAAATATACCGGGTTCTCCTTTTTTCCAATTTATACGTCGGGCAGGAATCTGGGCTTGATGATCCTCAAAATTCTCAAACACCCAGAAAAAATCGTCGCCGTTTAAGTCTTTATCCGGTGTGTTTTTTATTATTTTCTCACGACGGCGGCGTATTCTGGGATAGTATACCCAGCCGTCTTCCTTCGAACCAATGGGGTATTGGTGAAAGATTTCGGCCAGACCAAGGTTGAGACCAGCTTGCCGGTTTAGTTCGGCTATTCCCATTATTATGCGGTATGAATTGGTGGATAGTTGGGTTGGGTATAGCCTAGTTTGCCTAAGAAACTCGCAAATTAAAGGTTAGACTGGAAATCGTAGTCCGGTTTCAATAATGGATAAGAGGGTGAAGGGGACAAAGCCTTCATTGTCCCAAGGAATGACATCTTTTTCGGCTAAAATCAGGTGGACGTCATCGGGTATATTGTAGTCTTTTCTGAATTCGGCTAGGCCGCCCGGAGTGTCTACTAGATACCTATACTTTCCCATTTATTGTATAATTTATGAATAAATTAGTTCGGTACAAAAATTGCGCTCAGTAGCTCGGTTGAGCACGCAGAGGAGTGCTTGGGCAACCTAAGTCTGCAAAGTAAAGAACAAAGGTGTTAAGCACAGATCATTGGGTGGTGCTACAAATTAAAAGCAAGGTAAAATATAGGAGCCCTACTTCGGCTATGTGGATTCTACAGGATCTATCTCGGTTTCTGCAAGGTGATTTGTAGCTCGGTTTGAGCAAGGCTTTGCTAGTTCGGGCTCGGCAAACGTCTAGATATCTCGGTTGAGGAAACGGTTCTGTTTGACCGGTTGATCGCCTAGGGGCAGCTTTCTGAGTTCCATCTAAAAAATTAAGAAAACTGGTTTAGCCCCAAAGGCCTAGATCGGTTGGAGTTCAGGTATCTCGGTAGGCTAAGTGCAAACCTAGTTCGGTTGGTTACCTCGGCTAAGGACTATCAAGAAGTTTTGACTTATTCAAAGCTACTGGTGTAAACGTGAAGTGTTAGTCCGGTTGTACGCTGACTAGACTTTTACCTAGCTTAAAACAGTATCCTAGTTCGGTTGCATCATGATTTTGGATCAAAAACCAGTTTTCTACAGGATATTTCATATAGTCATATGTTCTATGGTTAAGTTTTTTTTCATAAGAGTACAGAGCAAAGCAAAATGGAAGAAAATGTTTTGGAAAAACACAGAAAACAGAACACAGAAAGCAACATATAAAAACAAAGTAAAGGTGCAATACTAACCAGAAGAAGAAGCAAGAAACTAAAGATGGAAGCGAAAGGCAGCAAAACACGAGCTCAAAAAATGAAAAAGCAATGGAGGCTCAGAGAGAGAGAAGTTATAAAGTGTGTTGAAATAATGAGACTCGTTTTAGGTAAAGGAAAAAAAGGCGGGACTGTTCAAATTTCACGAAGTACGAAGACGGCGTGACAGCCGTCCTCAATCAATCAGTGCGTGCCACGTGTCCCAGGAAGGAGAAAAGGCTAAGTGCAAACCTAGTTCGGTTGGTTACCTCGGCTAAGGACTATCAAGAAGTTTTGACTTATTCAAAGCTACTGGTGTAAACGTGAAGTGTTAGTCCGGTTGTACGCTGACTAGACTTTTACCTAGCTTAAAACAGTATCCTAGTTCGGTTGCATCATGATTTTGGATCAAAAACCAGTTTTCTACAGGATATTTCATATAGTCATATGTTCTATGGTTAAGTTTTTTTTCATAAGAGTACAGAGCAAAGCAAAATGGAAGAAAATGTTTTGGAAAAACACAGAAAACAGAACACAGAAAGCAACATATAAAAACAAAGTAAAGGTGCAATACTAACCAGAAGAAGAAGCAAGAAACTGAAGATGGAAGCGAAAGGCAGCAAAACACGAGCTCAAAAAATGAAAAAGCAATGGAGGCTCAGAGAGAGAGAAGTTGTAAAGTGTGTTGAAATGATGAGACTCGTTTTAGGTAAAGGAAAAAAAAGGCGGGACTGTTCAAATTTCACGAAGTACGAAGACGGCGTGACAGCCGTCCTCAATCAATCAGTGCGTGCCACGTGTCCCAGGAAGGAGAGACGATTCAGTTGTTGTGATTGAGGAGACGTTTTGACCGGACAAGCAGAGCCCAGTGTAAAATTAGCTCGGCTAGAAGGCTTAAGAAGTTTTAGCTCGGCTGGAAAGGCTAAGGGTTTTTAGCTCGGCTGGAAAGGCTTAAAAAACTTCAGCCCGGTTGATAGACAGGTAATCTCTATCATGCTGCGCAGAGGGAATTAAGGGGCAATTGAGAGGGTAATTTTTGTAAAAATTGGGCCGAGCTGGGAGATGTCATTATGGCCCACAATACGAAGGGCTGAGTAAAAAGGCCGTAAAAGTTACTCCGGCCTGAGAGAGGTACAAAATTACTCCGGCCGAGGAATGTAAAGTTACTCCGGTCCGGAAGCAACTAGGAGTTAGGCCGGTCTCAAAGTTAGTCCGGTCATGGCGTATTGTGGTTAGAACGGTCAGAACCTTGCTACTCGGTAGCTCAGTCTAAACATACCATGGTTTGTACATAAGAGAACCGAGATAAAAAGGAGAATGAAGAACCGAACTAAGGATAGTACGGCTTACTCTGTGGCTCAGCATAGCCATGATTACTTCGGTCATGTGGGAGTTCGGCCATGGTAATAACCATCTCACTTGGTTTAAGCAGTGAGGGAGGTGTTGGAGGATAAGTATTATTTTTCAGGGGTATGAATCCTAGGAGGACTCTGCATAGAGGAGTAGAAGTCCTACTAGGATTATGCCACATGAAACCTATAAAAGCTCACAAACATCACCTTTGGAGAGGTAACACACAATTTTGCTTTCTGAATACACAGAGCTTTGTCTATTTGTCAAGCTTACTAACTTAGGCATCGGAGAGGTTTCCAGCACACACCCGCCGGCTAGCTCACGTTTGTGTTTTCAGGTGATAAAGCGACGACGTACGGAGGAGCGCAGACTTGATCCACAGGATTATACGAGAAGGTTTATTTCTTTCCCGTACAATTCCCAAGTAGATGCTCTCAAGGAAGAAATGGATTTTGTAGATTAGAGTAATTTGGTAGTGACAAGCTAGGACCAGAATGACATCTTACCTTTATTGGCAAGGAATTAGCTCTATTGGCTGCTCCTCTCTAAAATCTTCGAATCTTGTATAAATGACAGTTCTATACAAGCCTATGTGAAGAAAATGTTTTAAATGTGCAACAGATAACATGTTGCACATTTTTGCTAAATCAGTTTTTGATATAAATATACAAGCAATGTGTTAAATCAGTTCAAACTAATAGTTTCATACTATATAGGTACCAATTGCTGTCTCTGTTACGCTTTATGAAGCCGTATGCTTATACAAAGGCACCAGGGTGATTGCTTCCAAGGGTAAAGAAATCACAAACTGGAAGGCACACATGCTTTTTCTTTACTGTTGTTGCGGAATAGTAGCTGGCATGGTGGGCGGATTGCTTGGGCTAGGAGGAGGCTTCATCTTGGGACCCCTTTTCCTAGAATTGGGAATTCCTCCTCAGGTATGTTTAATTAATACTCACTCTTGCATCTGCTACTGCAAAGCATTTCCAAAAAGCATGGGGACACAAGAGAAACTGTTAGAGCGTGGCCCAAATACTGAACAATACAGATTGTAAATGAAATTGTACAGATACAACCAGTAATCAGTCTACCATTTTCATCAGAATTGTTGTAAACATTGTTAGACTCATATGTCATCAATGGAGGAGTAAATAGGTTGAGTTTAAGGGAAGAAATTGAATTCCCAATTTGCAGAGCAAGTGTCCAACCAAAATTAATGCTATGCAGAAAAGGCAAATGAGATTATCGGCACCTTCTCAACCTAGTAATTCATTAATCACTGATACTAATGGATATCCTAACTGCAACTCAAATCAGCAGCCAACAGAATTAAATTGCCTAGTCAAGTAATTGAAAATTTGACTGCCATTAGTATTAATGATACTCAGGCATCCAATCTGACAATCCCAAATGATATGTTCTCATCACAGTTAACAAATACAGTAAATTTTTTGACAAAGTTGTTTCGTTTAGCAGGTGGCAAGTGCAACATCAACCTTTGCAATGGTCTTCTCGTCTTCCATGTCAGTTGTACAATATTACCTTCTGAAACGTTTCCCAGTCCCATATGGTAGGTGGCATCAACAGATAAGATTAAATGATATTGTGTTACTTCCTGAAGGTAACCTCATACTTTCTATATTACTATCTGTGGCAGCTGCTTATTTTGTTTTAGTAGCTACAATTGCTGCTTTTACTGGTCAGCATGTAGTGAGAAGAGTCATAGGACTACTTGGAAGGGCATCCATAATCATCTTCATACTGGCTCTGACAATCTTTGTGAGCGCGATAAGTTTAGGTATGCAGGTTATGTTAATTAAACGAAGGTGCTCTATATTTTTGCAAACAAGTAAGGTGCTGATGATCACTTTTTAATTCTTAATTACAGGCGGTGTGGGAATAGCAAATATGGTCGAGAAGCTGGAGAATCAAGAGTACATGGGGTTTGACAATCTATGTAACCAGTCTTAAATATGATTTGCATTTCTATGGCTGTGAAATTTCTCATTCAGAGTAACTTCATGCACACTACATTTCTCTTTACATAGTCAGTCAAGTATTTGTCCATTGGTTTTCAAGCAAAGATTGTAACTTATTTATGTTTATAGATGCAAAATTCATTTTACCAGTGTCTGCTAAAACCTCAATAGCAGGGTCTATCGTGTTTTGGTGAGTCTCATTAGTTATGTGAGAAAATTGGCAATCAGTTTTGTTCTAAGAGTTCTGTAAAACAATCATTTGGTGCAATATAAGTAGAAAATACCAAGGTTTTACATTTCTTTTGTGGTTCTTCTTTTAATACTTAGGTTATGCCTAATCATCACAAAGCATGTCATCGTGCTTAAATCAGATTCTCGGCAATACTGGTTTAAGTAGGTCGTTTAAACCTAAAACACAATCAACTATGGTTTAAGTAGATGGTTTAAGCTCAAAACACAGCCATTCAAGTATGGTAGAGAATCCTATTCCCAATACATTAGCTGATAAGTTAGTCATATAGGCCAAGTTTGGGAAGACTAAAAAAAGTGCACTTTTTGTCTTTTTGGACTAAAAAATTGAGGTTGAAAATATGGATGTTTGGGTTAACTTTTTGACTTTTTATTGAAAAATGTGTAATAAAAAATTGTAAAAATTGATTTATAGGGAAAAATTTGAATTGGGAGTTGTTCAGCCGTAATTGTTGACTTTTGGTGAATAGTGTTAACTTTTTAACTTTTTAAGTAATTTTTTGACTTTTTAGCTTTTTTGGAAGTACCCAAACTTGGCCATAATATAAATAAATAAATACACAATTGTAAAGAGAGAATTGCAAACTTGTCTTAAACCCTCGTGGCATTGGATCATTTTAGATGATGAACTTGAGACAACAAGCATTCAAAATGGCATTGCTAATCATAAGGATGGGCTTAGCCGCCACCTACGATACTCGCTGATAAGTTAGTCATATAATATAAATAAATAAATACACAATTGTAAAGAGAGAATTGCAAACTTGTCTTAAACCCTCGTGGCATTGGATCATTTTAGATGATGAACTTGAGACAACAAGCATTCAAAATGGCATTGCTAATCATAAGGATGGGCTTAGCCGCCACCTACGATACTCGCTAACAACTTACAAATTCTATTAACATGAAGGAAATCTACTGTGGATTTCCTTTAGAAAATTCTGAAAAACAATTTAAAAGTGTTGGCTAAGAATTATGGTGTTTCCAAAATGCAAGTCCCAAAATCAATAGATTAAACAAGTTTTCTGTGTCAATTTCTGTTTTTTCAATTTTCCATAACCAAAAAAAAAAAAGTTCTTTGAAGTTAACCAATCAAACAAATTTTCAGTTAAGCTTTATATATATATATATGAAAAGTTAGGGATCATAAAAATTTTTTCATGAAAACGATCATGAAAGAGTTACGATAAATACAGTCTAAATAGTGGAGCTTCGGTTTGTGTTGGTAATCGGTGGACGTGATACAGAAGAGTAGGCACGGTTAGGAGATCCTTTCTATGGAACAAATTTGGTAAATTACACTTTGCCCTCTATCTATGATCATTTTTTTTTTCTTTTAAATTTAATTTTATCCATTTTTGCTTTAAAATTTTCTCAATTTATTCTTATGATTAGTTTCTGTTTGAAATTAAATAAAAATTGTCACATTATCTATAATAACATGACATAAAAAATATATTATTATATTAAAATATGAATTTATATTAAAAATATAAATTATATATAATAAAATATTTTTATACAACATTATTATTATTATGCCATTTTTTATTTAATTTTATATATAAGTTAACTTTTAGCATAAATTAAAAAATTCTTAGCCAAATATAAATACAAAAATGCTTAGGGTAAAGTGTGATTTATCAAAGTAAAAAACAATAAATAAATAAATAAAAAGTCAAAAACGAATTCCGTTGCCGGGAATCGAACCCGGGTCTCCTGGGTGAAAGCCAGATATCCTAACCGCTGGACGACAACGGATGTTGATTCTTTGGTGTGAATTATAAAGTTAAATCTTAAACACCAACAAATCATGTCACTCTCTCCTGTTTCATACTTTATGATTCATCCTCTTTTAAAATAATGGGGAAGGGGGACTCACATATTTCAATTTTCAAAAAAAATTTAACATAATTTTTAATATTAAACAATGTTATAAGAACATTTATTAATATTTACTTTTTGGTAAATTCATCTAAGAATTTATTTCAATGTGTGAATCCGAAATTAAATGAGACATTAATGCTATGTTTGGTTAGAGGATTTGATGAGGAATTTGGAAAAGAAAATAGAAATGATAGGTGAAATGTGAATAAAATATATCTAAATTTCACATAGTTTCATACACCTTTTCCCTTTCCTTTTCCAAATCCCTTCCGAAATATCCCAACCAAACACAGCATAAATTTCATAAAATTTTAAGAAAAGTATTGGAGGAAATTTGATAGTTTTAGAGTATGAAATTCAATAGATACAAGAAAATTTTATTTTGTTGAGATTCTTGTATAAGTAAAATAATTATATTAACGAATTTGTTTCTTATATATAAATATAAAGCTCTCGAACCATTATTGATATCTAGATTTTACATTTAAAATTATTCATTGAATTAAAAGATTGTACTCCTTGAACGAGTCGTGTTAGATCCATCCATTTGAAATCCATATCCAAATGTAACCTTACATTTGTGCGTGCTTGGGCTACCTTGTTTGGTGCAACAACTTCATTTTTCATGTTGATAACAAAAATTCAGAGAATAACATACAAGTAAAATCATGCAAACTAAGGGGTTAGCCTAGTGTGATGCGGCTTCCTCTCTCATTATCATTCTACCGATTGAAAAATAATACACATTAAAAAATCATGCAGAGTAGGGTTTCTTTCCCATTCAACATCTCTCAAGCATAACAGTTATTTGGGCAGGATGACATGATACGGTATGATCCTACACATACACGCACGCACACACAAAAACAAAAAAAACAAAAAACAAAAAAAAAAAAAAAAAAAAAAAAAAAAAAAAGGAAAAAAAAAAAAAGGGAAAAAAAGGGAAAACTATCCATAAATTGGATATTAAAAGAAACAATAAAAAATATAATTATGGTATATACATTGAATTGCGAGGTAAAACTTTTCAATCATACTGGGTTTCAAAATTTAGAGGAAGCCAAATTACCGGTTTGGCTGCAAAACCCGGCGTTTGAAAGAAAAAATTAATAGAGCAAGGAAGAGTGAGAGTTTTGAAAACGATATTTTTGGTTTCTCTTAATCCAAAATTCCTTTTTGTGGAGGAGTGGATGGGTGTATTTTGAAATTTAAAATGTAGAAAGGTGAGGTGCGACAGATAAGATAAGGATGGGTGGTTGCAAAGTTTGTGGCTCTTGAGCGGGAAATTCAGGTAGGGTGAGAGAGAAGATTTTCATCTTAGCTGTCCATCTAAATATAGAAATGAATCGAGACCATTAAAATGTTTTAATAGGACAAATGTCTCTAACATATTTTTAAAACCCTTTGTACCTTATTATAAAAATCATGCAAACTAAGGGGTTAGCCTAGTGTGATGGGGCTTCCTCTCTCAGTATCCTTCTACCCATTGAAAAAAAAAACAGACATTAAAAAATCGTGCAGAGTAGGGTTTTTTTCCCATTCAACATCTCTCAAGCATAACACTTGTTTGGGCAGGATGACATGATACAGTATGATCCTACACACACACACACACACACACACACACACACAAAAAAAAAAAGGAAAAATGCTAGAAAGAGTGCAATCTATGATCTCAGTCTATTTTCCTATCAATTTTGGGCCAAGCCAGTGCATCATCAACACAACATGGAGCAACCAAAATGAACCATGAAAAACCGGGGAAAAAAAATTCAGTTTTGTAGTTGAATGTGAGTCAGACCTGAGAACACAGTAGCAGAAATGTAAAACACATGGTTAATTTATTCAGATGACAATGCCTTCATGTTCCAGTAAACCACAGCAAAGAGAAGAAACACTAAATATAATTACTACCCTTCACTGGAGATGTCTTGGCCAGCCAATTTACAGTCGCAAACAACATGTAAAGCATATCAACCTTTGTTTACAATCACCATAAAAAGAAAGTCAAGAAAAACCCTAAGACATGAACTCTTTCTGAACATCAAAATCAACAGTCTGAGGATTCCTAGCATATATAGAAGTCTGAACTTTCTCAAAACTCTCTTTAATAATCTAGGATTCTGGACTAGTTCATGTTAGTGATTGTTAAACTGCCTCATATCCGTATACATTTTATGTTTTCTCAAGAATATAAAACAAAGTTTTCACCATTTAGAAACCACCATTAAACTTGTGGGATGGCAAATTTCCCAACTCTTGGCGAAAGAATGGTCTGCGCATCTGTTGTAGTCAATATCTGTGGTATGGACAAGCCTCCAGAGATGACAATCTCTGCACCATACAAAATATAAAAAACTACACTACTTGAATTTTAAATTTCCAGCAGATCTGCACATGTTTATATTTAGGTATTGAATTCTTACCGATCCCTTCTCGAACAGAGAGATTAGGTCTCATAATATCCTTTGAATTGATTAGAAAAATGTCTCCAAGATAAAGGTGATTGGACGGGACGTAAACGCAGCAGAGCTCTTCTGCTCCTGAGCTCTTACGCAGAATAACGGTAGATGTGATAAATCCGAATGCATATTCCCCAATACGTGGATGCCTTATGATGGCCACTTCCTTGAAAGCATGGGAACCCTGATCTGAAAGAGGGATTTACATTGTCGATTTAGGATCAGATATGCTGACACTAGAATTTGGATTGAAAAATGTTCACCTGGTGATATTGCTGCACTAATTTGTTTTGATGCAGTATATATATAGCTCATGAGGGGCATTTTCTTGATAAACCATTCTCCCAAACCAAGAACAGAAGCTCCCAACCATGAAGACATGAAGACACCAACCAAGAAGATAAAAGTGATAGAGGTAACAAACCCAAGACCTGCTAATTAGTATAGAAATTAGAGTATGACATTCATTAAGTAGCTCAAACCTCGGAGCAACAAGAAAGAACCATTAATTACCATCATTGACTAATTGTAGAAAATAAGTTCATTTTTCCATTAAAAAATTTATAACTCCTTTTCACAAAAACTAACACAGCAAAACCAATAGTTTTTAAGGAAGGTTGCATGGCCATTTCTCCATTTTGACTTGGCAAACATCAACAACTATATATTGGCCATTAATTTAATGGCCAACAAATTATCATCCTTGACTTTTTGCATTTTAATTGGCTTTTTTTTCTGGTTACCTTTATTTTCATATTTAGATAATGCCTTTGTCACTGAATCAAACCTCAATACCAATAAGTACTACAAGTGTTCAAATGTATGATACTGTAAAATTCAAAAGTTCATTATACTAACCAAATACATTGATACCCAGATGAGCATACACTGGGGAGAAGAACCCATCCACAAAATGAAAGAACCACCAAGTGGTGTAGAACGTGATTGCTATAGGAAGTAAAATGACACTGCAAAACAATGTCAAACTCATCATGCACCAAAAATTTCAATTTATCATGTTTAGAGGATGTTTAGGTGCAATATATTAGATAGAATACACTCATATGAAAGATTATGATGAATGTATGACAATAAATTGGAAACAAAAATACAAAGCAAATATGACTGGTCTTTAGATTACGTCTACAATTAATGCAGTAAAGACACGATGGCTTCTAGTTCCCTCAGCATCGCTCAAAATGACTCCTGAATTTGTATACCATGCAGAGCTCATATACCAAGTTACAAATGCACAATTGTGATTTTTTCAATATGGTTAGGAATTATCATAACACCTATCACAAATATTGGCCAAGTTACAACTTGCAAAACATGGAAGATCATTTTGAACCTGCAACAGTTATACAATTACTTATATTTTCACATCAATGCGCTGTGACTTCTCCCCTGTATTCCTTCTTGAAAGTTGCTTATACTTTCTTCAAGAAATAATAGTAATAGGGCCTAAGGATGTTATAGATATTCAAGGCCTTAGATTCCAAAAATGGGATAAGTTTAACAAATTACTCGATACCATCTGCTTGGCTGCTTTCCTTTTTCTTTTTCTATCTTTTTCATTGAAGTCTAATTAGCTTCTCCATTGTTCTGAACTTGTGGTTCATGCTACATTCATTTTCTATTCCTTCTTGTATGGAAAATGTAATGGTTCCTTTCCCGACAGAATATTACTTGCACAATATTCAACACTTTTCCAGTTAACAAACGCATTTCAATTTGATAATGCAAATTGAAAGGATGGAGGAGATTACATTGGATAAACAGGGTCAAGATGGTAACCATATTTTTCTCAAGGAATATACCTTTTTAATACCTCCCCAAGATTGGTATTGAGGCTTCTTGAGTTGAGCTCAGTTACGCTATTTATGTAATCGAAGCCCATGCGAGCATATCTCTTAGATCAGGATATTTATCAAGCAGTACAAAAGAATGGACCTATCCTATATACATGGCTTGGGCAACATTGTCCTTTGCAAGGAAAGACGTGTATGGAAAGAATTTAGTTGGATAGGCTTTCAAAATTGTCGGAAGCATTTGCAACTCAAGTCCTAACTACTTGAACTAATGAAGCAGTTCCGGGCTCTGCACTGATTAAGAAAAATTGACACTCTAATACAACAATATGATTTGACAAGCTAATATATCAATATAATTATTGCTTTTTAAGAGAGTAGGCGCACATAAATCACTCATATTGGTCTCAACATACAGAATAGTAAAAAATCCAGTATAAAATTTCCCTGTCAAAATTATGATCACAAAGAGCACTAACAATAGCAGAACAAGCCAATGAGGAGTTTAAAAGAGGAGAGTTGTAAGCAGAATAAAGTATCATTTCGGTCATAAAATTGAAAATTATAAGATAACTTGAATGAAATGATTAGATCAAATGGAATTTTAGGCAACAGAGAACTAACCATCCTGACATAAACTTTTTTGAAGCCCAGCTACGAAATACTTTGTAAAATGCCTGCACAAGAAAATAAGAGAAAAAGTCCTTTCAATCATAGTACTCAGATTTTTAAGCACTTGTGAGGATATGCCCATGTACAAAAGAATCCCTGTGAACCATTCTTCTGACAAAACCTAGTCTCAACTCTCAATAAGATTTCAGCTATTGTGAATCACTTATTTCAGCTATTCAAATTTATTCTATGTGCATAACTTGGATATTTTGATCACTGCATAAAATTTCATCAAATTATGACAGCATAGCGAAATCAGAGAACATGGCAAAGTTCTCAATACCTGCTGGTTTTTCAACACGCGAAAGACTTGACATTGCTTATACAAGCAATGAGAACTAACACTAATGTAACAGTAAAGAATTCTAATGAGTTCAACTACATGGAGCATTTCTTTTTCTTAATCAAAAAATATATTTTTAGTGAAAATGCCCAATATTTCTCTCTGTAGGAAATAAATTAAAGCCCTGATAAAATCAACTATTCAATAACCTCTTTCAATAAATATCGATGAATCAAAACTGACGAAAGCTTGATAACTGATCCATCAACTAGAATCACGAACAATGACATCCACATTATGAGAAATGCATACATTACGAAACGGATTAATAAAATAAAAAATAAAGAAAAGGAATTGATATAAAATTGAGTGAAGATACATGCGATAATGTGTGTGTATGCAAGAGAGAGAGAGAGAGAGAGAGAGAGAAAGCGTGAAGAGACCTCTTTGCCGGAGTGATGAGAAGAGGAGGGCAAAGGGGATGCGGAGGAAGATGATGATGATTTAGAGCCTCCATTCTCAAGGATCCCAAGTCCTCCAACAGGTATCAGACGTTCTAGATCTCTATCCTTCTCTCTCGTCCCCATCTCTCTCTCTCTCTCTCTCTGTCTTTCCTTTTTCCCGCGAGCTGTGAGTAACGAACTATATTGTTTATCGAACTCTCTCTCGGGCGTTAAACTCACTGTATTATGCATGTATCGCAATGCATTAATTAACTGTCGAACATTTCTATTTAACATAAAAAATTAGGCTTAATTTTTAATTTTGATGATTGTGTGAGTGATTTTCTGACCACACTGTCCGCTTAGTAACCAGTTGGAGAGCACCGGCATAATAGATGGCACCTGGCTGACCTGCAACAGAAAGAGAAGATTCCGGCGGTGGTTCGTCTACTCAGGGGCACTCTGACGATCAAGTCAGTATATCTCTCAAAGATAAATCAAGTGTTATACTCACAAGTTTGAGTATCAAAAGCATACCTTAAACTCATGAGGGTGCCTCTCTTTTATAGACAACATAAACCTAGTCCCAATAGAAGCCTAACTTCTATGGACTTAGGATTACTGTTAATCTTAGACTCCAAGTAAGATTAGGATAAACTCTCTAAAAGTCTTATCTTAATACAAACTGAAGTCTTCTCTCATTCTAGGACTCTTGTCCCTCATCCGCTTATCTCAGATTCCGATATCTTCGGAGGTAACCTCAGCCTATCCGAGATGACCTCGGCATAACAACCAGGACACGTGGCACCTCGGCTGACACGTCGGCGTCACTTTGTTTGCTAGATTATTGACGCTTAGAATTCAATTTGAACTTAAGCTTAGACCCTAGTTATCATAGCACATTAGCCCCTGATAACCAAGTTTGACATCGTTCAAATTCAAGAGTGCCATCAAAAGACGCACAAGCTTTCTGAAATTTGTGACTCGCATTCAACCAACGACGATGCCCTACGTAACAAAATTTCCTGAAGTTCTTCAAATTTCGAGAATGACTATGTGTGTTGCAACAAAGACAAGCTAAAGCACCTTTCATGCTCCATCCAGAAAAAATTGCATAGACAGGAAAATTCATTTCTCTTGGTAGGTTCATAAACTCTTTTATCAAGCTCAATCTTTCATAACTCTTCTGAATCCGTTTGCTTGCCCTCTGTTGTCTTCTATTTTCGTCTGTTTTCAAGTTTTGAATTGTTTGAACGCCTGGCACTGTTCTTGCCATATCCACTTTCTGTTGCTAGCATCGTGTCTGGGTCATTACTTTCTTGTTCTTCACATACTTACTTAGTGCCTGTGCACTTGGCTTTATTCTTGAACTTTGTCGTCTTCTTGACTCTGATTTTTCTCTTTTTTTTTATTCAATCCTCTGGTTTTTTCTCTTTCTAGATCTTTTGCTTAAATCCGTCATTGTTCCAAGCTTTCAAACTCTACAACTGTTTTCGTTCCTCTCCTCCGGTGAAGCTTACGTCATTCTGTCATTTTCGCATCCGTCGTCGGATTTTGGCAATTCTCATTCCGGCTTCCCTCTTTCTGGTAAGCCACTGTTCCTCATGGTTTTATTTCTTGTTGCTTTCCAAGAAGCTCTGCTTCATTGTTAATCACCATTGTTGTTTAACCAGTTGTTTCCAACTCATCTTCTTGAATACACACTGTTCACACATCTGTTGATTTCTGTCACTGTTCTTGGCTTGACACGTCTGTGCAATCTTTTTGTCTTGATTTCCTGATAGCTTCATCACCATTCTTGATTACGAATTACATTCTTGTTTCTGTTTTCTGTGTCTTTTTCCAAATTCTTGCTTTCAATCCTTGCCTTCAAACTTCGAGGTGCCAATCGCCAAGAAGAGCTTTAATCAAACTCTTCGGGCGATCGATGCTGAGCTCGAGGCCGAGAAGGCTGCTGAGAAGTCTTCCCAACTGTCTTCTATATCCTGCCATTGATGCCGAGTAGTTTTGTTTCCTTCTTTTACTCCTTGTACCTTGTACCTTGTACTTTGTCCGTCTTTGTATGCTTTTAATCCGGCCGACGTGCCATTTTTGTAGTCTGAATAATTTATTTTTCAATATTCAGGCCGAAGTGCCTTATTTCTTCTTTAAATGTATTTCTCTAATTTCTTCTTTGAATGAATGTCTTCTTTTTTCTGCTCTTGTATGATTCTACACTTAGAATAATTTGCATGTCATCAAAGTACACCTTGACTGTGCAATCTCTTCGGGTAAAATACCTCTGTCACAACTTTTAATCTTGCTCATCTCGGCCTTGTCTTAACACTTGAAAATATTGTAACAAATATTTTTACAAGTGTTGTTTAAGACTTGTCACTTTCTCAATGTCTTCTATCAAGACTTCAGTTTTTCATATTTCAAGTTTTGACAACCTGGTAGTCTCGGCAAGTACGCAAATATTGCTTGAGCTTGACTCTAACTTGTAAATTTTTCAAAAATTTCAACAAGTGTTTTAATCATCATCCTTTATCATAATCTCGGTTTAACTTCAGCTTGTAAATTTTTCTCAAAATTTTAACAAGTGTTAAACCATCTTCCTTTCGATATGACCACGGTTTAACTATAACTTGTAAATTCACACATAATTTCAACAAGTGTTCAAATCAATCTTCTTCCGATACGACCTCAGTTTAACTTTAACTTGTAAATTCACACAGAATTTCAACAAGTGTTAAACATCATCTCGGTTTAACTTCAACTTGTAAATTCACACAGAATTTCAACAAGTGTTTAAACAATGATTTTGGTTTAACTTCAACTTGTAAATTGTCCACAAATTTCAACAAGTGTTTAAACAATGATTTCGGTTTAACTTCAACTTGTAAATTGCTACAAATTTCAACAAGTGGTAAACAATGCTCTCGGTTTAACTTCAACTTGAAATTGTCCACAAATTTCAACAAGTGTTAAACAATGCTCTCGGTTTAACTTCAACTTGTAAATTGTCCACAAATTTCAACAAGTGTTTAAACAATGATTTTGGTTTAACTTAAATTTGTAAATTGCTACAAATTTCAACAAGTGGTAAACATCATATCGATTTAACCAACTTGTAAATTGCTACAAATTTCAACAAGTAGTAAACATCATATCGATTTAACCAACTTGTAAATTCACACAGAATTTCAACAAATGGTAAATATCATATCGGTTTAACCAACTTGTAAATTGCTACAAATTTCAACAAGTGGTAAACATATTCTTCTTCTCTCTGCCCCTTGCATAGCTTCCACATACTCCTTTGCGAACTTTATAAAAGGTCTTCAACCTGGCTAACTACAATCCAACCTTATGTGTTTTCTTTTTTTATTTTTTGGGATCTGAGATCTGCTCACTGAGCTCTTCTCTTCTCGGTCTTAAGTGCCGAGATCTTGTCTGCTAGAATCTTGGACCTGCTCACTCAGGTTGAGCTCTTCTCTTCTCGGACCTACTCATCTAGGCCAAGATCATGTCTTCTAGGATCCAGGATCCAAGATCTGGAATCCGAGATCTGCTCACTTAGAATGAGTTCTTCTATACTTGAATGTTATCTCCTTGGGAGCGCTCATGCCCCCTGTCTTTGCATCCCTTCTGGAAGGGTCTTCGTTCCTCCGCAGGTATCTATCCTTCCATATCTGGAGGTCATCTTTGTTGTAGTATCTGTTTCGATCTGTTGTCTTTGGTGCGTCACCTTTCTGGCCAGCGTCTTTCACTCTGTGACTCTGGTCACGAGTTTCTGTGTTGTGGTTGTCCCCTTCAACGTCGAGGTTGATAGGTCTCCCACTCCTAGCAGGAGCGTTGTCTCCAATCTGATCCTTCTGTCCGTCATTAGCCATCTATTCTTTTTTTTTTTCCACAGACGGCGCCAAATTGTATGAGTGATTTTCTGACCACACTACCCGCTTAGTAACCAGCTGGAAAGCACCGGCAGAATAGATGGCACCTGGCTGACCTGCAACAGAAAGAGAAGATTCCGGCGGTGGTTCGTCCACCCGGGGGCACTCCGACGATCAAGTCAGTATATCTCTAAAAAATAAATCAAGTGTTAAATTCACAAGCTTGAGTATCAAAAGCGTACCTTAGACCCATGGGGGTACATCTCTTTTATAGCCAACATAAACCTAGTCCCCATAGAAGCCTAACTTCGATGGACTTAGGATTACTGCTAATCTTAGACTCCCGGTAAGATTAGGATAAACTTTCTAAAAGTCTTATCTTAATACAAACTGAAGTCTTCTCTCATTCTAGGACTCTTGCCCTTCATCCGCTTATCTCGAATTCCGATATCTTCGGAGGTAACCTCGGCCTATCTGAGATGACCTCAGCATAACAATTAGGACACGTGGCACCTCGGCTGACACGTCGGCATCACCTTGGCCACGTATTGGTACTCAGAAAATATATCCCCACAGCGATGATAATCAATTAATAAATTAAAAATATTATTTATATATATATTTGAAATTATTAATTAATTATATCACTTATATATTATTAAATTTAAAAAATAAATTTATATATCATTTATTTATACTATATTCATCTCCCATTCACCTTTCAGTTTGTACATTTTTTGGGTTCTAAAAGGGTCTTTATCTCGCTCAACCGTACGCCGCCCGGCCCGGCCCGGCCCTCGATCGAAGCCCAAACTCTGGCCCGACTGGCTCAGTTGGATTAATAGGATGGTTAGCAATTGATTAAAAAATTAAAAAATTATTTAAAAAAATCATATAAAAATGTCAAAAAAAAAAAAATCATTATCTCTACCTTTTTTCACGTCATTCTCAAATATTTTTTATACTTTCAACTTATATTTTAATTAAAAAGTCACTAAATTAATTACATTCAAATAATCCCAAGTCTAAGTTTTAAAATTAAAGTAAAAATACAAAACAAACAAGTAACAAGTAACAAGTAACAAGTTTTAAATTTTTTAAAAATTATACCAAAAAATACTTCAAAGGTAGGCTTAATTTTGGACCATTGGGCTTAGTTTATGTGTTATCTCTACCTTTTTCACGTCATTCTCAAATATTTTTTATACTTTCAACTTATATTTTAATTAAAAAGTCACTAAATTAACTACATTCTAAATAATCCCAAGTCTAAGTTTTAAAATTAAAGTAAAAATACAAAACAAACAAGTAACAAGTAACAAGTAACAAGTTTTAAATTTTTTAAAAATTATACCAAAAAATACTTCAAAGGTAGGCTTAATTTTGGACCATTGGGCTTAGTTTATGTGCTAACTCGTTAATCTCGTTTAGGCCAAACTTGTTATATAAGGAAATTTAAATATTTTTAACCTGACTCATCAAAAAATACAATTAAATTTAGTTCACAGGGGAATTTGAATTATTTTTATCGGCATTTGGATACCATTTTATGAGTGGATCCGACAAGACGTAACCTTCATTTGGTATTTTACCAAGATATTTGTTATATGTTTTTTAAATCAAATAAAATGTACTTGTAGTTTCACAATTTGATATTTCTTCAAAATTCATGGCATGAAACACCATCTAAATAAAAGATCTATAGAATTTAATTGACTAAAAATTTGATATATGCAAAATGACAAAGATAAAATATTTAATCAAATGAAGGTTTTGTGATATATAAATTTATAAAAAATAAAAATAAAAATTATAAAATGGATGTGAAACTTTTTAAGGCCAATTGTAATCTTGACCTAAGAAAAATAATAGTATACAAGTTCACTTTATTAACTCATTTTTTAGATTTAATGATGTGTATAAATTATATAATTAGTTGATAATTAAAAAAAATATGAGACAGTACGTTGCCTTTACGTGATTGATTGTCGCATGATTGACTTTAAAAATTGAATTTATTTTTTGATCTTAGAATAACAATACTCTTAAAATAATTCGAATTATATTTAAAAAGGAGTAATGTTACATTTCATTAATTTTAAATCCTTAACAACAACATGGTAAACACTTATTAAATAATTTTCATATTTTAATGGGGGTTCTCTGTGACGTATGACTAGGATAATTCGACAAATGTTTTAATAATCGGATCAGTTAGCAAATCGAAAAAGGGATCGAGTGGACGGGTCATCAATTCAATTGTCGAGTTAAACTGAAATCAAACCATGACATAATAAATATATTCAAATAAAAATATAAGTAATAAAACTATCAATTAAAAAAAATTAAATATGAAATTATCTTAAATATTTCTCCTAATATTTTTTTACTGAAAAATATAATAATATATTTTAAAATAATATTAATTTTAATTTTAGAAGAAGAAATCAAATATTCAATATTCTTTCCATATAATTTTAATTCAAATAATTTGATTAAAAAGAGAGTAAAAATTTTAGAGAGATATCAAAATTTTAGTATTTCCTCCAATACATTTGATTGAATCCCACATGAATTTTTTTAATTTTTTTGAAAGAATTTTTTTTCTTATAAATAGGTAAAGATTTTCACAATAATTTCAAACTCTTAATAGAATTCATAAGAGGATATCCTTAAAAGAGAGTTACCAATTAAAATTTTTTTATATTCTTTTATATATATGTATATATATATATAATATGATGTATATATATATATATATAATATGAAAGAAAGATTAAAAAAAAGTTAGAAGGAATCACAAAAAAAAAATTCAATTTCACCGACCGTTCAACCGTCGGTTTTTCGATTCTTCCTAAATAAATAAGTTTTTAAATTCGAACAATTTAAAAAATATATTTGAATTAAAATTCCGATCGATAACCGGGTCGAACCGGCCGGTCCGATCCGATTTTCAAAACCACGCCGACAACTTACTACTGCTACTTTCCTCAGCCCTAATCACGAACAGATGGAAAAACACCATTCGAGTTGAAGATGACCTAGCTCTCAAAATTAGTCACTGTTAGGCTCTGGGTTATCACTCTTCGTGGTGTTTCAATATCAGTAGCCACCAAACAACCCAACCCCAAACTTCAATTCTTGATTCATTGCGTATGCAATTTGAATTCCGATCTATCACTGGAAATTCAAGCTCTTTGTTCGAATTTCAAGTCCAATTCCATAGAATTGGGAAAATTTTTGAAGTCATTCGAGTTTCTGTTTCTAGGTCGTTGGTCTCCGAAGATATGATAACTCGTTCCAAACTCGTCGAACAACTCAGAGATTACCAGATCCGATCTCAGCACAAGTGTCCTGGTCTCATTTTCTTCTCTCCCAAACCCCATATCACATCCTGGTATATTTCTCTCTCTCTCTCTACATTTTTGTGTAATCTGTTTGAAGATGTTTGTTTGCTATGTATCTTATGGTCTCTTTTGGCTTGAATTTCTAGATTTTGATCTTCTTAAATGTGTTCCTCCTTTTGGAATCTGGTAATTGCTTTGTGTTATTGAAAAAAATTGATTTGAAAAAACCAAGAGAAGCATTTATAATGTGATAATCAAATATGCCTTTACGAATATGTTGTCATTGGTATTATTAGGGAGGACAATCTGACAAGTTTTGGGTATTTGATTTACTTTTTCTGATAAATTCTTCAAATTTGATGATGCAAGTTCTTAGTTTTTCTACGGTTGTCTAGTGGGACATGTTCAGTGCAGAAGACTGTCTTTTTTCACTGGGGATTACTTCGATGATTTGATTATGTGAACATTCATGCATATCCACTCATTAAAGCACGTGGAAAACATTTATGAGATAAAATTTTGAGTTTTGGGTTACAAATGTTGAGATTAATAGTTTGCTGCCATGGTTTTTGAACTGAAAGAGCAGGTTTAATATTTTGTAGGCGTTTTCAGGAATGGGAGCTAGATATAATCAAACAGTTGTTACCTTGCTGTTTGAGTTTAGTATTAGGCCAGTAGAGTTAAGTGGAATCAAATCTGCTACTTTATCAGTTATGTAATTATTTTGCTGGTTTCTAGTCTGGCAGTTGATTGTTTTAGGGGAAATTACACTTCAGTAGTATTTATTAACAAAAATTACAGATTAATGAAAAAGTTTATGAATTTAATTATTTAAGTGTATAAGATTTACCATTGAATTGAATTTTTTATTTTTTTTGAGAAGGATTGTGATTTCCCCATAGTTTTAAGCTAGGCGGTTAAGGTTCTTCTGAAGTTTCTCCTTTGATCTTAGTATTTTGCAGAACTTCAAAGATTGAGTATATTGCTTATTTATTTATTTATTTTTTTAAGTTAAGTATATTGCTTTAAGAGTTTGAATTTGTGTCTTTTGACAAATAAGTGTGATAAGCACAACTCAGACTTGAAATGAGTGAATTGGGTGCTGGTTCATTGTCTGTGTGCTTTTACGACTAGGGCAATTTGTTTTGGTTAGCCAGCTTCTTTCTCTTATGTGAAAGAGGCCCTTTTATGTGTCACTTTAAGTCTTGGAGTAAAGAAGACAAGCAAGTTTTGAGATGTATTCTGGGTGTTTCACATTTGTCCCTGTCCAAGGAGAGTAACAAGCAAAATTTGGGAAAAAATGAACTATTCCTTAGATGATGGCTTGGCGTTTGTAATAAAGCTTGACTGGATTTCAGGGTGCTGCTTTTGATGGTTTGATTGTTGTATTTGGTCTGAGAGAGAGAGATATAAATATCTGTTTATCTGAGAAGTCCCTAATAAATATCTGAATTAAAGAGGATGTACCCCATAAACATACAAAGTGTACTTACAAGAGAGGGAGGGGTATCTCACATGGCAATTTAACAAAAAGGGGAGAAGAGAGTGCTGTATCAACAACACTTGATAAGACAACCACTTGCACTTGGAATAAAGGCAAGTGCTAGAAATAGCAATAAAACAGTTGTAACTATACCTTATATGGAACTACCAATGCTTCAAAAGAACAAACACTTCTCTGGAGGAGGCTTGTCATGTGGGATATGAGTCCTAAAATTGGGTCCGGCAGGACATTCCTTTAATGTGTCTTAATTAAAAAATTAAATTCAAAATATTGGACACTTCATAGACATTTCTTAAAACACTTCATGAACCTTCTGAACGTGACCTATATGATGAATCTCTTCATAGTAATGCTTCATTTCGTATCATATTTTTTTTTTTTTAAATCGCCGTGTTGGTGTGTCTGTGTTGTGTCACATATTCATGTCTGTGCTACTTAGACTAAGGCAACTAGTGGGTTGTCAACTTTCTGTGGATGTGCATCCATTTGTTAATAAGTGACATATTAAAAATTGAAATTTTTAGATGCAGTGTTTTGAGCGTGTTGTATATCAGTTCAGTTACACAATCTGTGTTTGTAATTATGTCTAAATGATTAGTTCAAGCTGTAAACATGTTTCACCTTGTCGTGCCCCTATTGGATTTACATTATCAGCCAAACTTTCCTGTCTTCACAGTATACATTTTGATATATCACAGAATCATAATATTCTTTATATTTCAGAGCATTGAAGTGCCCTATATGCTATTGATTAAATGTAAAGGTTGTGTTAAACTTTTTCAGGGCCGATGTTGCTGTGGCATCCTTGTGGGCATTTCTGTTTTGCGTGCTTCTAGTGTCGTCTTATGTGACCCTTTACTACAGACATTTTTGGCTTTCTTTTGTTGTCGTATGTATTGGTATCCTTCTTCCCATACGCCTGAGAATTGCTAGGCAGACACTGGCAAAGAAGAAGGATAGAAGATTGTCATTACCTTTGTCCATGTGAACCTCCGCAACCAATGGTGCAAAGTCGCCCAGTAACTTGGTCAGCAAGCGAGCATATTAGTCTCTGGTACATGGTTCTTTTATTAGTGTTTATAGGTTGAAGTCCTGATCTTTTTCAACAAGAACACTCGCCAGCCTCCTTTTAGAGTGGATGGTATGATTCCTTTTTTTTCCTTCTTCATGACCCACACACAAAAAGCCATGAGAATTTGCAGAGAAGCCGCAATTGAGCCAAGTAAAGGTCCTCCTAACTATTAAATTTATCCTCACTGGCATGTAAAATGTCATTTTTGGTTCCAAAAGATTTTATAATTGTTCTTCAGATTGGGTTGTTAGGTGTCTTGCTCTATAATATTGAGATCAGATGGTACCTCATGGCAAAATTTGTATTGAATAAAAAAAAAAAATTGTATGTTTTCTATTTTCACAAGTTAATTATGTAGAATTTGACAGGTTCAGTGTGCTTTTGGTCACTCGTATTTGCTTTTATCTTGCTAGGGTTGGGTTGTGTGTACTTACTCATGCACTTGTATGGAGTCAGGATCCTCTGAAGTGAAAACCCTGAAGTCATCTCCTAGAGTGATCCATCGAACGGTTGAAATTAACCTCACCAAAACGACGTTGTTTTGGTGAGTAATTTGAAGAAAAAAAAATAAAGAAAAAAAAAAATCAGCTTTGGTTCAAAACATTAAGGGTTCTGCAAATATGAAGCATTAGAGAGAGAGAGAGAAGGGCTGAGAGGAGGAGCCCCTCCCACCCCCGACGCGTCAACAGTTGAAATCAGCTTTCATTTGGGAAGGCAAGCAAAAGCAAAGCAAGAGAGATAGGTAAGCTTTAAAAGCTCCTGTCACATACTCTTTGATTTTGCTTTTTATATTGTCATTTTGATGATATGAAGAAAAGTGAAAATAAGAGAGAAAAATGAGTTATATTTCCATGATTGCTCCAGTTGCTTCGAAACTATTGGATTTCATATTCCCTCCCATCACCAATCGATTTGGTTATCTGTTTCACTACAATAAAAATGTGAAAAACATCAGAGAATTACTTGAGAAATTGCAAGATAAGAGATCTAGGGTTGAAGGAGGGTATGTAGCCAAAAGAAATGGGGAACTCATTGAATCAGATGTTGAGAGGTGGCTGACTGAAGTAGGTGAGATTGTTGAGAAATTGGGAAAATTCTTGGAAGATGATGCTATTGAGGAGAAAAGGAGCTGCTTCAAAAATTAAGCGGCGGCGGCGGCCGTGGCGCGTCAGGGGTGGGAAGGGTTCCTCCCTCCTCTCAGCCTCTCTCTCTCTCTCTCTATCTCTAATGCTTCATATTTTCAGAACCTTGATGTTTAATTTCAGCCGTTGGATGGATCACTCTAGGAAATGACTTCAGGGTTTTCACTTCAGAGGATCCTGACGCCTATATATTGGTCCCCCATGAGGAGGAGTTGTGTGGGTCTTTTCTTCATCACAAGCGTACGAGTGATTGTCTTTTTGCTACAGACTAACATGAGTATCTTTTGGCTACCCCCATATATACAACATTTTTTTTTTAAAACCGAAAACCGTAAGACTAAATTATTTATTTAGTCATTATATTCACTGTTACGTAAAAGTTAATAATTTAAAAAAAAAAAAAAGGTGTAAAAAAATAAAAATTTACTTTTGCTGGATAAGCGTAAGCCCAACCTTCTCTCCCTTACCTAGAAAATATATTTTCTTATTCACTTTCATTTCCTTCCTGTTCTTCTGTCGTTCTCTCTCTCCCACAAAATTAATCTTTTTTTTTTGTCATGAAGATATTTTCAGGATTGATGTTAATGTACAATTTGGTTCATGTGTATTGGGGAGAACAACCTGATTATTGTTGAATTGTTAGAATGCAACAGATTTGAGTGTCAAGGCTATTTATCTCTTTAAAGTAAACTATTAATAGGTATTAATAGTTAGATTTAATTTCAATCAAGTTTTATTAAAAATAAATCATAATAAAATTATTGTTAAAAATAAACTTTCATAATATTTTTTACATATGTCGTTAAAAATTGACAATTAGTGATTTTTTTGGTCACGATTTTTAGAAATTGTTGTTAAAATTTATAATTAGTAATTTTTTTTGTGACAAATTTTTTAAACTGCTGCTGAAAGTTAAAAATTAATAACGTTTTTTGTGATGATTTTTTAAAACTGTCGCTAAAATTTATAATTAGTAACATTTTTTGTGATAGATTTTTTAATCAATAGTTGAAATTAACAATTAATGATATTTTTTAATAGTATTTGATGAAAAACACCATTAATTTTCACAGAATTTATTGAATAATAAGTTCACTTATTAAACTTATGCGTAAGTCCCTTTTCTTTAGGATAATCTCTTAATATATCCTAATAGTTAGTTTTAATTCCTATAAAGTCTTATTAAAAATAAGTCTCTGTAAAATTGTCTTTAAATCGTGGCGATTTTTTACATGTCGCTAAAAATTAACAATTAATAATTTTTTTTTTGGTTACGATTTTTATAAATTGTTGCTAAAACTTATAATTAGTGATTTTTTCTGTGACGAATTTTTTAAACTGTCACTGAAAGTTGAAAATTAGTAACCTTTTTGTAACTTTTTTTAAATTGTCGCTAAAATTTGTAATTAGTAACTTTTTTTTAATAAAATTTTTAAGCTGTCATTGACAATTAATAATTAGTAGCGTTTTTTATTGGCGTTTGATAAAAAATATCATTAATTATCATTACACTTATTGAATAATAAATCCGTCTATTAAGACTTACACATAAATTTCTCTCATCTTTAAACATTTAGGATGTGTTTGATTGGACGGACTGGATAAGGGGATTATAATCTATCGGATTTGAATTCTCAGACTGTGAATCCCCAGACTATTTAATTGGATTGGATATATATCCTGTATTTGTTTTCTCATGGGATTAGATGTCTAGAAATGACTATTTTTAGTGAATCCAATATTTGGTTGGACAGACTGGATAAATAAACAAAAGACTATTTTACCATTTTCCAATTGTTTACTAAGTAATAGTAATATTAAACATATTTTTGATATTTTAATTATTTTTAGCTAGATTAAATAAAAATTTATTCATTGATTTTATTTTTTACACAATTAAATAAATTTATTTTTTAAAAATTAAATAAAATATCAATATAAATATATGTTATTTTTTAATTAAAATTTTAAATAAATTTATTTTAAAAAATAATAACAATTAAATAATGAAATTAAAGAAAACATCTATTAAAATTTAAATAATGAAATCAGATAAAATATAAACAAAATTTTAAAATAAAACATCAATAAAATATTTATAAAAATCATTTTAAAAAATTAAATAAATAAAACATCAATAAAAATTTAAATAAAATTATTTTATTTTTAAATTGAGACATTTAAATTTTTTTGAATTTTACTAAATATTGTCACGATCCGCTCCCCGTACCCAAGGGTTAAGTATCGTGATGGTCAGTAACTGAGGTTACCTCCGGCCAATTCTTAAACAAATCAATAAACGCGAGCGGAAGTAAAATTTAAATGAGGGTACTAAAATAATCATTGGAGCTTCATTTTTATTACAAAATGTATTGACCAAAAAGGCCGATATTTACATAGAAAAATATTATAAAAGTGTTGTGTGCGTCTATTCCGTAGCCCCGCATCTAAGATTTTTCAAAAATTATTTCTGAATTGCATGTTTCCTGAAAATTGGCAAACAACTATAAGCACATGATAAAGTGAAAAATATTATACCAAGAGTATAAGGAGTGAAAAATATTATACTAAGAGCATAAGGGACACGAAATAACCATGGATAGTTAATTAGGCCAAAACATTTAAGATAACTTAGTCGGAACAAATAATCCTTTAAGTAGCAAAACTGAGATTATGTAAATAAATAATCATAATCGTGGTAATTTGGTAAACAAATAATGTAAGTGGCAGAAACTGCTCATTTAAGTAGCAGAACTGAAATACAGAAATTATGTAAATATATAACCATAACCACGGTACAGAATAGAACAGAAGTTACAGAAGTGACAGTCAGAACAGAGGTACGGATTTAAAAGGTAGCTTGTACGGATTCTAGAGGTGGCTCCCGCAATAGTGTAGCACTTAGTTCCGCATAGCACTTTGCTCCGCACACAACAGAGGTCAATGGATCCATGACAAACAGAGGACTACAAAGTGGTCAAATAGAGACCAATGGTTATTTAAGTCCCCCAAAGCATAGGACTCCCATGGTGGTATTTACAAAATAAAATTGTTTATAAAGTTATAGTCAAATATTCTTTTAAATATAAACAAATATATCCATGGATTTCCTTTTCAGAAATAGGATTCAGAAATAAAACCACGTAACTAAAAATTTTATAAAACATAACTTTTATTAGGGTTGGTTTGGGAAGTGGGTTGGCTTTTTGACTTTTTTTGGTTATTTTAGCCTGGGGTAAAAAGCTTGGTTTGGGAAGGACTTTTTAGCTTTTTGACTTTTTTAGCTTTTTTTGTGAGAGAAGAGTGTAATGATTATGGGTTGGATGTGATGTTTTGTTTTTTGTGGCTAAAATAGCATATTTTGTCTTTTATGGCTAAAATAGCCAAAAAAACTCCTAACCCAACTTGCCAAACGGAGGCTTAATATACTAATAAAACATAACTTGTATGAAACAGATTTTGATAAGTCAAAACATACGTAAAATATATTTTGATAACTCAAGATATAATATAACTCACCTTAACTTTAATATCTCACCCTTTTTTTTACTATTAAAGACATTTTCAGCTTCCGTTTTCTTTTCTTTCTCCCTTTCTTTTCTTTCTTTCTCTCTTTCTATTCTTCTCTCTTTCTATTCTTTTTCTTTTTCTTCACCCAGCCGAATCACCTCCTCCTTTTATACCTGAGCTTAACAGGTGACTCATCCTATAATTAATTTCCTAGGTGATAATTCACCACATCTAAGACTTAGACTTAATAGGTGTTTGGCCACCTTTCACAATATTTCACTTTTGTCCATTATTATTATTATTATTATTATTATTATTATTGTTATTTATTTATTAACTCCTAAATTCTTAATAATTATATTATTTTATAAAATTACGTATAATAATATTAAATAAATTATATATTTTTCAAATTGAGATTAAATAATATTAGTATAAATTTTTCAGAATAATTAAAAATCTAAGTTGTTACAAATATAATACATAATTAAATATTAGAGAGTTAAAATGGTCATTTCATCACATAATCCCAACAGTAAATAATCCTATGAAGATAATCTCACCCCCTCCTCTAGGGTACAATAACCTCTCATATGAGGGATATGAAGTCCAGTCAGACTCCATGTCTGATAGACTAAAAAAAACAAACGATGAATATTTTTTTCCTTCG